TTGCTCAAATTAGACCTAATTTACATTAGAAAATTTAATCCTGTTAATAGAAGGAAGAAACGCAGAGATTGAGAGAACTATTCCTCCCTCAGCTCCACTTTGCTACCAAAGAAAATGAGAGTGAAGGACATATGTGAAGGCTGAGACAAAACCAAAGATATTGATGCTCAAGGAAATCAATAGAAAGAGCCAAGGAAGCCCAAGCAGCTAAAGAAGGGAGAACTCTCTAGCAGGCTCTGTGACTGGGGCACCAGGGAAAAGGACGCTGGCTCACTGCAGGCTGAGAACTCCATGCACCCCTCCTGAGACGGTCCTTGGTGCAGGATTTCCATCTGCAGAGCTTTCTTTAGATGACAGATTCAAGAATCTAAACCTGTAAGTCTCTTTTCCTGTGGAGTTCGCCCACCCCACCTCCACTCCTGCCAATTTAACTGTTGCTCTTCTACATTTCTACTAAAACCACATTTGGAGATTGGTCAGAATTCTGCTCAATAAATCTTCATTCCACACAAAACTCTTTTCTTCTAAGCGGCTCCCTGGCTTGTATTATTGAACATTGGCCTCCATTATCGTCTCTGGTCTTACTGTCCTTGGCTACTGGCACCCACGGTTAAGAAGGAACCCAAAAATTTAACATCTAGAATTCCTAGAATCTTAATTTCCTCTGGTCTACTTTACCCAATAACTTCATATATCATGATTTGGAAATGCATCTAAACATAGTGTCCAGAATGTTTACAACCCCCAGTAAATACTGAATGATGAAGCTCACCCACAATCATCTATGTATTCCAAGAGACAAGATGGAAAATATAATCATGAGAAGTAATGCATATGTGGACTTAACTAAAAATGTGAGCAACAATGGTCTCTAGTGATTAATGAATCACTCAATGATCACCACATCCCACATCCTCTGGGACTTTCTTTCACATAAGTTCAATAGCACAGGGAATCAAAGTGGTAGGTGTGCCTTCAGGAGTACTGTACCTACAAAGGGATCAGGAAAGCCTTTCATAATGCAGGCTCCAGGAAGAGTCTTGTGTTATCTGAAGTGTTCTGGAGCTTTACTAATTCATGCAGTATCACCAGCCTTTTGCTTTTCTCATGTCTGATACAGCTGAGACTCAAGAGGTGACAGAGTCCAGAGCTCCTGATTTGGGTCCTGTGGCAGAATGACCAGGCCCTGCCGCTCTCCTTCCCAGTCCTTCCCACAGCCCATATATTTTCACCAGCTGCTCACATGGGACCATGCTTCTCTCGACATCTCTGACCACATTTTCAGACACAAGGGCTGGTGAATCTATCCATCAAACAAAAGAGAATCAAGAAGCTGGAGACAGGCGGATCACACGAAATCCACGAGACACTCGCAACTTACAAGCTTCCCGGAGTTTCTCTTTGTCGTAGTGAAATCCTTCATAGTCTTGTAAACTGATTTTGTTCACCCGGATCCTCAGGCGATCTGGGACAGACTGGGGACTGCAAAACAAGAACCACGTGGTCAGGTACAAAGGGGAGTACAGAGCTGGAGATCATTCACCTGCAGGGGTGGGGGCGAGGTGGCCTCTTCTGGCTTAGGAGAACGAGTTCACGTTTACACCAGAATTGTGAGTTGTGTACCAGAATACAGCCACATCGGCAGAAAACTTCTCTCGAAAATGATTGTTTCTGGAATTTAGATTAAAAAACTAAATTGAATAAATATGCAGAAAAAGTCTTTTAAAACCAATTTTATACAACATTTCCTCTTCATTTATTAAAATTCATAGCAAGATCATGTATTTTGTTACATAATTAGATACAGCTAAACTGAAACAGTAAGAAAAGGGATGGATCTCTTAAAAATGACATGTACAGAAGCCTATAGGAGTCAAACTTCATCAACTGTGACTTCAACCGCCGAAAGAGACAGAAGAAAACTATTTTAACAGTGGCAGAATAAGTGTCCACAAAACACAAGACTAAGATTAAACAGCTCTACAAAAGAGTCTCTGAAAGCACCTCTTAATTAAAGCATGATACATTAAATACTTCCTGTAAGCACTCCCAAGACAGAAAAAAGTTCAAGATGTACAGAATGTTTTCATTCAGAAGAGAGTAAAGTATATAATTTGTTCTGAAAGAATTCAATCCAAAATGGCACAGGACACACTAAAATTATAGGTCGTACCAGATTTTCTGAAGCACCCTGCTTGCACTCAGAATGTGCACAGTGGGTTCCTGGAATTTCCCTTACATTAAATCTTCAAAGTAATTGTGTCTTGGCTATCAGTTGAGTAAAGTAACTTGGTAAAATTATTTTACATCACTTCCACTCTGCATCAACACTTTTTCTTTTTCCAACATAGTGAAACAGCACCATCCCCATCTACCCCGGAATACCAACTTATACCAAGGTTTCATTGGTTGAGGAAATTTTCTCAAATAGGAGATTGCTGTTCATTCTATATGAAATGGTGAGGAAAGCCACCACTGACTAAAATGGAAAGAACACCAATTACTCTCCATTTCTATAAAGGGAGAAAATGAAAGAAAAGAAGAAGAGGAAGGAAAGGAGAAAAGGGGAGAAGAAAGAAGAAAGGAGGAATAAAAAAAAATGAATGGATCGAAGAAAAAATACTTTAAAACTAGTCAAGACACTTCTCTACCACCAAACACACACACACACACACATGCACACGCACACGCACACATGCATGCATGCACGCACACACACTTACACCATATGCAAAGCATTTAAAACTGTACATAGACAGGCACACATTCTAAAGAAGGTGGCAGACATGTGAAAATGTCTCAGGGTCACTGGATCAAAACAGAGCCAAAGTAGGAATGATGGAGCTGGTTCACCATGGGGGAAGCTGAGGAGACAAGCTCCGTGGCTGTACCATTCCACCCTGCAGAGTGTGTGTGCTGGGTTTGTATCACCACTGGGCTGGACACCGAAGAGGCATTGTACAAGAAAGAGGACTCTAGCACTTACATGGTGATCAGAGATCTAGTGACCTAATAATCTCCTCAGATTGCTAGAATGACACTTACGTATCATGCACATCTATGACATTGTACATGTAGGTGAACTGAGCCTCTGAAAGGTAAAGTGACTTGCAGGCCACATAGCTGCTGAGTGGTGGAACAGGGAGCAGAGCCTGGGTCTCCTTAGTCAGCAGTTTTACATACATTCTTTTCTACAATTCTCTTAAAAGGGATTCACCCTCCCTCATCAATGGATAAATACCAACAGCTCTGTGGCTATGACAACAAAGTCAAAAATTCAGGATTATCACAGTCAAATGATCTCTATGTGGAGCTATGGCCCTTTACCAAAAAATAACAGAAAAGGAGCTGGTTAAGTAAACCGAGGTACATGATAATAAAAGAACACGAAGTAGATATTATTAAAGAATGTGTAGATCTATATTTACTTAGGGGGCAGTATAGCCACCACATATTACAAAGTGAAAAATGGTTCATGGCAAACGATGCCATAAGCTCCTTTGTATAAACTGTGGAATTCAGGAGTTTTATGTATTCAAGAGGAGAGTCTGGAGAAATGTTCAACAAGTTGTTCAAAGTGGTTATCTCTACCTGGTGGGGATTCAGGATGTAATATCTTTGTTTCTAGGAACATATCTACATAAAGTACTTTTAAATGCAAGTCAACCTGTAAATCCGTGATAAGCCCAGATAAGAGTAACAGTACAAATTATTGGAAAGAATGCTAGGTATGAAATACACATAGGCAGAAAAGAATATGAACTATTAATGGAGTGGCTATTCAATGTTCATGCCAAATACTTATCCAAAAACTAAGGGAGTCTGATCTTTTAATTTCCAAGTTCACCCAAATTATGTACAAGATTGAAAATACCAAATAGCTTTCTACAAACATGACAGGTAAGAGGGAAGCTATTACCTTACAGTGTGGCAGCCCTTCCTATTCTGTAACAGGAGAAAAAAAGAGCACAGGGATTAAACGAGCTCTATCTAAACAAGCAATAACTATCTCTAGTCTTCCCCTGTCGGCTGGAGGTACCAAGACTAAGACCTCAAGACAACAGAAGTTGCTCATGGGAAGGTTCAGGAAAGCAGTGATGACCAATCCAGGCTCCCTACCTCCAGATCTTTTTCAACTCTGAACCAACCAGTGTACACTGCCTTTCTCTAAATGCATCAGTGCCAGATCCTGATCCACACGCTTCTCTCCCCCATATGCTCATCTATGCCCCAGATTCCAGCTCATGCAATGCGCCTTCCCAGCCACTGGCTTCCCACCAATCTTTGTGATTGCCAGGATGACTAGCTAAGTAAGGGAGATGAAAACAGATGCTCCCACTAACCAGCACTCAGCACCTTCCTCCTGCTTTCCTTTCCATTCCATCCTCTCTCAATGTGCAGCATATCCAGTTTTCCCATCAGCAGAAGCTGTCTTAAACCCAATCTCCTGACTCAGTTAATGGGGATTGTTGTCTTCTACTAAACTCTTTCCTCACTGAGCTCCTTCAATAAATCTTACGCTCACACCATGGAGTGCAGGATGGATACCCATTTTGTGTCATTTCAGATTCTGATGGAAATAGTTGGTACAGGAGGAAATAAAGTGGTTATGAGCCCAGGCTCAAAACAAATTAACTAGATTTGCAGTAAAACTCTTACTGCCGGTTAATCAGGAAACTTTGTTCAGTAGATTCTTCTTATATGAAATACAGATGATAATAGTACTTATCTACTTCATAGGGATAAGTATCAAGTGAAATGACCCTGGTATATTAATAAGTTTTGAGTAGATATTAGCTAATATCATTATAAATATTCTGAAATTTCCCTTGTGTGTAAGATCCTATCTAATACTAGCATCTTCTGTTGCCAAATGCTAGAACTTGAGAGTACATATGAAACTTCTGTAGACATTTCCAACAAGGTTATGGGGAAAAACTGTCTAATTTGGCTGATATCATGACATTTCACACTCCTGGGTCTTCTTCCATCTGGTATTTTACGCAGCCAACTAATAGCAAGAACACAGACAGCTAACACACAGGCAGGAAAAATGCACAGAGACCAAACAAAAACAAAGAACTACATTTTTGTCCCAGTATGTAAAAATATATTAGTGTCTCATTGATGGCTGATTGAAGGTAGAAGATGGAGTAGCTATACCTTGGTATCTGCGAAATAACACTGCCATTAGCTTTCTAAAATTAAATTTTCTAGGAAAGTTAGTAGAGCTCAGAAGAGAAAAACAACGTGGATACAAATGAATTTGGCTCCTGCCAGAACGCACCACACATTAGCGTGCCGATTTAGGCACCATGTCAAGGGCTCTAAACCTGACTTTGTGGAAGTGCTCAAGCTTCCTAAAAGGGACTCAACAATCTGTGAAGTCTACTTATGGCCTCTCACTAGTTTCCTCTGCAACATCACTGCTGAATTCCTTTCTCCCACAGAGAAAGTCTGTGGCTCTGGATTTCACACCCAAATGTCCCTCATAACAGCCTTCTACAAGCCTTACTGCGACTTCTCATCAAGACATGAGGGCTTCCAAAGACCTCTCAACCACAGTTTTCATGAACTCCATCACCCACACCCTTGCCACCCAGAGATGCTGGCAGAGAAGTGGACAGCCACCCCACCGCTGAGACTCCCTGGATGCTTGCTGGCATTCAGTTCACACCTGACTCTTGTTCCTCATTGCTCTTCCAAAAATGGTGCTTGTAGCTTCTGTGTAGAACTTCAATCCACCAGAGTTAAATTCCTCCCTATGCCCTCTAAATTCTGCATCTTTGATTTCCAACAAAGCATAATTTAATTCATCCTGGGAGAAGGCTCCTCATACTCAATCTCCCGCCCAGGTCTTATTTTCCTATATATTAAGCACAGGAGGAGGGTGCTTTGGCTTCCCAGCGTCACCTTCAGACCACGGATGCCACAAGGCTCCTTGTTGCCACTGAATACATGAACCACTTGGCGATGGCGTCCATTAGTATCAAAGCAATGCAGTACAGTGAAGAAACATGCTGGCAGGATCCAAGTTCCAATATAAACTACCAATTAATTTAAACTTGAGATCTCACTTTCTTTCAGATCACTTTGTGATCTAAAAATGGAACTGGTGACAGGAATGTGGTCAGGATGGAGTCAAAAATGCACATAACGCCACACACTTTCAGTAAATAGTAAACCTTCAGAAATACATTGTGTTTCTATTATTAACAACTTCTCTTCAATGTCTATAACTCCTGTTTTACTTCATGTTTTATTTGTTCATGTATTTATTTGTAATGCAGTACTAGGGATCCAACAGGGTCAAGGGCTCTACCACTGACCTATATACACAAACCTTTTAAAACATGTTTTTAAGGTTGGGGAGATAGTTTGGCAGTCTAAGTACCTGCCTGGCAAACTCAAGGACCTGTGTTTGATCCCCAGTACCACATGTCATGACAGTTCCAGTAACCCCAGGTGTGCTAAGCCCACCA